TAAATCAACATGAATCTGTATCACATATACAGATACGACACGCTTATGATTTTTCTTTGTGTTTTCTTCATGAATTATTAATGAGTTTTTAAAGGCAATATAGTAATTTTGGAATCGATATGATCATTAATTTAGTAATGTGGTAATGTAGAATTGCCTTCATTGTGTAATATTAGTCAAGCGACATAACTCTACAGTATATCAATGTATACAAATAATTACGAATTACGTCAGTCTTAAAGGAATACCGAATGGTTTTCCGTGCTGGATTGCGTGATCCATGTACGAGGGATGTTCCGAGAGTTTCGGAAAGCGTAAAAATACTCGAGCCGCAGGCGAGTGTATTTGTACGCTTTCCGAAAGTCGAGCAACATCCCGAGTGCATGGATCACGCTATCCTGCTTGGAAAACCATTTGCTACAGTGAAATAATAACATTTTGAGAATCCCGCGAAGGTATTTTAATGGCCTGATCCTGCACGGCTATTGACCAATCAAATTGCGCATTTCACTGTAGTTATTATATAAAGTCTGTTACGTTCCTTTATTAACAAGACCGGCGCTATGGTCTATGCACGATAAGTAGCTAGGTTACGAAATGGTTTAAAATAGCTGAATTTAAGTATACATATATATTTTTTATGATTTTTATGACACACAAAAAATGCACCTTGGTATTGCATGCTAAAATTACTTTGCAGGTTTACTATGCATATATTGCCATGTGCAACACACAAAATTAAATTTATTAAAGAAAACATAAATTTAATATTGAATATTTTTAAAAAGTAATGCAAGTAACAATTTTTATTTTAATTCTTTTATTTAATAATGTTTTATATATTCTGCTTGACCTGCAGGTGGTAATTTGCACATTGGATACCCCGTCTTCCACTTCAATAAGATATGTTTTTTCTATACGTAGGATCACAACACAGTGATAACCACCGATTTTTTATATCTTTTTTCAGGGTGAAATCAGTGACAAGACAATGACAGAAATTAAAAAGTGTCTACTCACTCCATTAGAAATTTTGAAAAAATCAGAGGACGAGAAACACATGATAGTTGACTTGTGGTGTCATTTTGGGAAAGTCTTTGTATCCGGCGTTGATGAAGGTAATACAGTGCTGAGATTTGATTAAGGTACATGAAGAAATGTGGTCGTTTCCGTTGGCTGCAGAGAAGTACAATTTTTACAAAACTTGAGACACCTTGAAAGTCCTTGCATTTCAAAACAAAAATTCAAGGTCTTGATAGTTCTTGAATTGATGAACTGCAGAGCATGAAAATCTATCAATTTTTGTTGCTTTAGTTTTTGTTTATTTTCTGAAATTGTTTTACATTAAAAACGTACATTTTGTTGAATTGAATCTGTCCATTTCTTACAAAGCTGTTTGAAGTTCATTAAAGTGACAATTTCTAGCGCCTTCTTTTTAGGCCTTTGGTCTTGAACTTTCCGATTCATGGCCTTGAAACTCCTTGAAAAGTTCTTGAATTTTATTCTACCTGCAATACGTAATTTTTCAATTTTTCAAACTTTGTACAAAATGTTTTTTTGTGTTCTCTACAGAAAATGGTGGAAAGAGTATCCTTATATCTTACAATCGTTCACATGAATATTAATAGCATCAGTTGGAATAAATTAATGCACATAGGCATGCCGTGTATATGTTTAATTCAAGCTTACCAAGAAATTCTATCGTGCGAAATTAATGGCTCGATGCATGCTAAAGGCTGAAATGGTCGTCTGATCTTCGCGTAGTTCGTGTTGTCTATGCATACGAATGTGACATTGGACGAACTCAATTATTACACTATCGACATTTCTTCTTTGACATTTTATAATCCATGTTTTATTATAAAATTATTAATATATATGACTTATAATATAGAAGAAGCTAAGAAAATCATGACACCAGCGGATATCAGTGGACGACTAATACATACAACCAGTAGCAGTACGTTAAAGAATAAAGACACGAATGCCTATTGGAAAGTTTCTTTTGAAGAAGGCGTTGATCCATTAGATGACAGTGCACTTCCAAACTTCGGCGATGAAAATCACGATTTTCTTGGTCTCAAGCTAGATCACACACAGTGGCGTTACGATTTTGACTTTATAACTCCATCATGTATGTTTACTCATATATATTGTATTCAAAAGCGCAGTATTTTTTTTATCATATCTTTAAAGTCTGTTCGTTCACTGCAACGAACAAACTGATCTTCGCGCAATTCGTGTTGTCTATGCATACAAATATGACATTGGACGAACTCAATTATCACACTATCGACATTTCGTCTTTGACATTTTATAATCCATGTTTTATTATAAAATTATCAATATATATGACTTATAATATAGAAGTCATGTTTCGCTCGCTATACTCTGGTTTAAATAAATGATACAAAGCCCAGTCGAATTGTAATCAAGACCCAACGTTTCGACACTCCAGTCTAGTGTCTTCATCAGGGGTGATCTAAAATTGCAATCGTGCCTTCGAAAAATACCACGAGAAAGGGAAAATCAGCTTTAGCCGAACATGTATGTTACACCAAACACGAGATTGCGTGGGAAAACTCTAAAGTAATTACCACAAACAATCGCTATGGTCAAAGACTTTGCCTAGAAGCGTGGCATATACATGTGAGTAATCATGCTTTGAATAGGGATGACGGTGCCTATTTGCCAGAGGAATATATGCATCTCATTGGCAGGTACGTGACGTCATCCCTTGGGTATTTAAGAAGCAACGATTGCAATTTTAGATCACCCCTGATGAAGATACTAGACTGGAGTGTCGAAACGTTGGGTCTTGATTACAATTCGACTGCGCTTTGTAATCATTTATTTAAACACGGGCAATAGGACAGGTGTACTGTTGTTAAATAGAAAGTTAGAAATGGTATTGTACTTACTCATGTATTATAATTATGTTTAAAAGATCAGAATATTCGTAACTTCTTATTTTGTTTCATAAATAGTTCTTTAATATTCGAAACAAATTCCACATCTGCCTCGTCTGCCATCGCCATAAAACGTTATAAAACGCGTCGAGGATACGTTTGTGCCATATATGGAAGTTATGGATAGGTTTGTGCCATATATGGAAGTGTCACTGCATCCTGCTTATGACAACGATGTTCCTACCCTCTTATTTTCTCCTTAATTTTTCTCGCTTGCTTATTATTTTGCCAGGAGGGGCGGCAATGCCGTGCAGCATGTAGATTGGGACGAGTAAACATGGCGATGGCAGACGAAGCGGAAGTGGAATTTGTTTCGAATATTAAAGAACTATAATACCATTTCTAACTTTCTATTTAACAACACTACACCTGTCCTATTACCCGTGATTTAAACCAGAGTAGCGAGCGAAACATGATCATATCTTTCCTTTATAAAATAAAAATTTGTATTTTTTTCATATGAAAGAACATTTAAAAATACATAATTTTTACGCTCCTGTTGTATAGATTTTTCCTGAAATAGTTAGACTGAAAACAATGAGCTTGCTTTGGTTTTTTTAACTAACGATGATTATAATGACCTCAAAACAGAGTTAGTCGTGTAAAACTACTCCTTTTGACCAAATAACAATTAGCAGATGTTTAAAATTTAGCTCGCTGCACTTTAATGCAGCAAAGGTATTGTACGTTATATAGTCCGGCGCCCGTGTACGTCTCCGTTCGTGTTCACAGAAGATTATAGAGTGAATGGGGGGCTATTGAGATGCTACTTTTGATTTAATGTTGTATTATGTCCACTTCTAAAAATTGATATTTTTTGCAAGAGTTTGGAGCTTCGGTGGCGCATTTGTGAAAGGTAGATTCTCGCCTTGAATTCATGACACCTACGTCGAAAGTGTCAGTCAACGTGCTTTACCGAACATTATGGGGGTTTTCCAGTATGTTGACAGAGCCAGTTTGAATTAGCCCCTAACTGACCCTTCTCGATTGGTGAAATAATTAATAACCAATATCGGAAGTAATAAATAATAATCAATTTTTTGAAAATTGAAATTGTGACCGAAGTATACCATTGGTCTTAATTACTTCGGTTTATTCAAGTAAACATCTAGGCGACCTTATTCGTTACGTAACATGCATATACAAGGGTGTATAAAAAAAGGTAATCGAACTTCAGCGCGCTATTATACGCGAATTACTTGGCGTATGAACAATTGGTTTTCATATTCGGGAAGATCAGGCTTTTAGCTATTGAATGACATGCTGTTCATGCCAAGTCGGAGAAAAAATAAGCATGTACGAGGCCGATTAAAAATGTAAGTCAAAATCGCACATTTTCACCTCTGTGCCTAATTAAAACAATGCATAACAAAAGAAAAGGCAATTAATCACGAACGTGTCGCTTAGCTAAGATTTATTCCTACTTAATAATAATTATGAATATGTGTGCAGTTTAATGAAGTGAAATTCATCAACTTAAGTCCTAAAGGGGGTTCATTTTCAATGGTTTTAGACCCAACTCTCAACGGTGAAAATATGTGATTCTGACTAACATTTTTTATCGGATTCGTATTTGCTCATTTTTAATCCATTTGGCATGAAGAAGATATCATTCAACAGCTCAAAGCATGATCTTGCCGAATGTGAAAAATCTCGTTCATACGCAGAGTAATTCAGATACAATAACGCGCTGAAGTTCGATTACCTTTTTTTTATACACCCTGTATAGTATAGGATACGTGATAGGGGATATAAATTGCTTGCCTGCATGGTGTTCTTGGCAATGACATTCAGTTCCAGAAATCAGGGTGGATGAAGAAGGGACCACGGCCCTCCAGGATATATAGTTATATGCTGCAAGTTGATAATTATGACTGGTTGCACTGTTACTATAAGTATTTATATTCCAATATAAAACTGAATCTCTGCTCTTTATGCAGCCGCTATTACTTTGGCTTTTCTTTAATGAAAGCAATTATTCAATGCACATTAATTGCTATGAAGTGCTTTAAGAAAAATGTTTCCACTATGTGTGACTTAGCTTCTGACTCTGCTAAATTTGTATAAAAATGATCTATCAAAGTCTGTAATGACAGCAGACACTAATTGTCTATAGTTATGATCAATGATAAAGAAATTATGTAACCTTACGAAATTATATAGCCTTCTATTAGTTTCATTCAACTAATTTATATTAACTAAAGTCACCAATGAAAATGTTAAATTGAGAAGTACATAAACATCAACACTTACAACTCGATATACACCTACAACGGCAACATGTGGAAGAATCATTACTTTCATAGTTTCATAATAGTATTCTCAATGCCATTAGTCAATAATTTTCTTGTCAAAAATTGCGAATCATTTCGTTTCCACTGCGTATTAAATGATGAAATCCTTCAAATGCTTGCCAAAAATGTACTATCGACATTTGCCATATTCAGACTAGTAAAATGACGTTGTTTTAAACTGCGTAAATTCACAAATTGCCTTTTGTTTCCCCTTCAGTAAACCGCCATTTCGAAATTAGTATCATTACGTCATTTCATCTATACGCTGTCGCACGATGGCAATATATCTGCTTCGCAGATACAAAAACAGATTCATTTTTATGTGTTTTTGATCGGATCTGAACATGAACTTGTCGTTGTCAGAAGCACCTGATTTGTCAAAACCAAAACGCCAGACTTTTTATTAAAGTGCATATGACATGAAATTTCTTATTTTCTTAAATGAAAGAACTCTTTAAGTTGTAGTGTAACTTATTTTTCAGTTTCTTGTTTTTATGGGTTGTTCCCTAGATATTTCAATTTGTTTGATATGTAAATGAGTATGAATATGTCCGCTAATTTATGACGTCATGTTGGTTGCAAGCTCTTCAAAATGGTTGAATATCACTGCTATTATCCAAGATGATATTTTCAAACTTCACTCACTGGTAAATGTGATGAAACACTGGAGAAAAACGTGAACTGATATCAACAGTTTTTAGAGTTAATACATTTATATAACCAGTGTAAGTTGAGCTTGCAAACAACGTGACGTCATAAATTAGCGGACATATTCACTCATTTACATATCAAACAAATTGAAATATCTCGGAAACAAACCATAAAAACAAGAAACTGAAAAATAAGTTACACTACAACTTAAAGAGTTCTTTCATTCAAGAAAATAAGAAATGTCATGTCGTATGCACTTTAAGCTTATTTATATTAAGCTTGTCTGCTACCATATTCATGAACAAATCATGTAAATTTTTACTGAAACTATATAACGTCTTTTTGTGTGTTTCTTGCCAGTTTTCTCGAGTTTTCGTATTCGTGTTTCAACTTTTCAATTTTTGTCAGGCTCGCCGTAAAAATACACAACTGCACTGATCTCAAATTAGTTCGCAAGCAACGCTGGAATTTTAGTGAACTTAATTCTTACATCTGATAAAAATAAACACGTTATGTACAGGCAGCGTCGGTCCGGATGAAAAAAGCTCCCCGAGCCCGAAGGGCGAGGGACGTTTTCAAGACCGAGGGCACAGTTTTTCACATCCCGGACCTGACGCTGCTTGTATCAGATGTAAAAATTATCAGATGTAAAAATTAAATTCATTAAAATTTCAGTGTTGCTTGCAAACTAATTTGAAATCAGTGTAGTTGTGTACTTTTACGGCGAGCCTGACAAAAATTGAAAAGTTGAAAGAATAAACACGAATACGAAAACTCGAGAAAACTGGCAAACACACAAAAATACGTATAGTTTTGTCATCCGGACCTCGAAGCCGGTAAATAACATATATGTACGTGTATTCAATCAGGTTACAGCGTGAAACACGAGAATACAGTACCAAGAAATGATCACATCCACTCAGTCAACTAGAATCCAGTATATTTATACACTGGAGAAAAAAAGTGAAAACCATACTACGAAATTTGCAATTGCACCACAAAATCCATAGTATATCCATACTACTTTTTTTTCATTCATTCATTCATTCATTCATTCATACTTTATTTGATAATGCAGGTTAATTACATATGTCAACTAAAAGCTGATGTGGACTTCCATATTATATCCATACTATGGAAATATACAATTATTATGGATAACCAAAATCCATTCTATTTCCAATAAAGGTCCATACAATTTCCATTCTATGACCTTCTATGGATTTTCAAAATTTTTTCCAGTTATATACTCTATACCCCATAAACTGTCTCATAGTGAGCTTCATATATAGCAATTGCAGTGAGTTTAAAAAGTGATTAATTAGTACAGGATATTCTCCACATAGAGATACCAATGAAGCATTCGACAAAAGATAAGCAAAGCTTTATTAGTATTCTCTAAACAGAGCATACTAACCAGTTCATTAGTAACTTCACTGCGAATATTAATCGATAAAAAATATAAAAATAGGTACGATACGCGTACATGAATCTACGTATAGCAATAAATCGTTGCCCCACCCTACCCAGTAGCCAATCGACAACTTTAAAAAGTGAATGGCCCGCCAAGCACTAGCTAGTCTAGAACATAATCAGAAAATAACATATGCGTGCATAAACAGGTTATTCATGTACCAGTAATTTGCGCTAAAACGCTTATTCCACAGAGAGTTACGACCCCCCCCCCAAAAAAAAAAAACTCAATGAAAGTGCGCGGTGAGCTCAACAATATTAATATACGCTGTGTATTTATGTACTTAACATGATTGTTTCATATGAGAACTAAGCAGGAGTGAGCAATCGGCGCTGCATAATATAGACTTAGAACGCGCAATCAGCTTTAGATAACCCTTTATTTATCAAAGTTAAGAGGTGGGCTGTCACAAAACGTTTGTTTATATATAAACATTTAAAACATTTAATGGGCCAATTTTACTCGAAACCTTAGTGGCTTACTTCTTCGCTGGTTGTTAATGTTATACTTTAAAAACGGATAACGGATTCAAATGCCTGTTAAGTGTCGAGATGACTCCAAATAGGAAACATGGAAGACGCTTAGAAAACCAATATGTGCTATTTCGTAAATTGCTGAAAAATGTAGAGCAAGCATGCTACTACAAAACAGACACGTAGTTCTAAGATTAATTTACCTTGATACGCTCCATTTTCATCCACAAGTGATCATATTTCAATGCGTGAATAAATATAAATCATAAATTTTAACCCCTCTTTACTACCATATTGGATTGTCTCGCGACGAAGCCGTGATTTGTAATTACGTAATTTTTGGTAATACTGGTCGCTGATTGGCTAAGTTAACAGTGAACAGCTAACACGTCGATAGCATATAATCTACTTCGTAGATTCAAAAATACCCCAAAAAATAAAGAAAGAAATGATTGTTCGTGGATGCGATCATTTTCTAACTAAGACGAATAGGGCATTATGGTTACGTGTGTTCTATGGGTACAAAGTCCCGAGAACTGGATAGAATGCCACAAGAGGTATACCATTACATATAACTGCATGCATGGTATTGATGGCTGTTGTTAAACCTTAACAAGGGAAATTTATTGGCATTGTCACTGGCGAAATAAACTGGAAATTATTGTGAGCAACGATGTCTCGGTGAAGATGAATGCAACCTATGTATGTGAATGCCAAGAAAACTAAATATTCTTTGTTAATGATTCTACTGTATATATAGCAATCGTAAAGCAAAAAATAGGTCCCGCTGCCATTAGCAAAGTGTCTGCCATCGTCAGTTATCAGGTCATACACGACTCGAGCTCATGGTATAATTTTCAAATATTATAGACTGAACTTCATCTACAATACACCGCTGACCTTTTACGCTGAAATTATACATGATTATTGCTATGGCCTAATTTACAAAAATTAAAAAGGTTAAGCTACAGATCTACTATTTAGTTCCTACTGTAGTAAGGGATGTTTCGTTTAAGCCTGGTTATATAGAGAAGTTATATAGTCTTAAGGGGTATTTCAGTTGGGGGATCTTTACTATTGGTCATCTTCGTTTTCGGACAGAAAAGGATATCCTCGTCTCCCAAGCCAACTTTGTACTGCCAGAAACAGACTTGCTGGCCAGGAGGTACAGATACACTTACTTTCTCTGTCACCGTCCTCACGTCATCCCAGCTTTCCTTTCTGGTGTCAACACTCTTTCCGCCATAACTTGCTTCCAAGGAGAACTGGTATTTGGCCAATTTCGCAGCAATATCTCCAGTGCTGTAACTCGCGCTCACTTTGATGTCCCAATTGTGTTCGATACTTGACAGTTTTTCCTTCCTTGCTCCGTTTTTGCGGCTGACTTCCTTCGACCAATCAACTGTTGCCTGGGATGTATTCTCAAAACTCTTTAAAAGCTCCCATTCTCCAAAAGCAGGTCCATCTGTGATCGCTAGTCCACCAGGCACACATTTAACAACATCCATGGCAAAGGAACAGTCAGTACTTTCATAGTCGTGGTTCATATTGGTTGTCGTATGATACTGAGGACCCCAACCACCCACTGATGTAACGACGTAGGCGTACTCGCCATGTCCCCAGTAGTACAGACCATTTCCGCACTTTGGATGGAGATCATATTGCGCCACATCCTTGCCTTTGCTCATGTCGGTAGTCCTCTTGTAGACACCTCGATCTTTGTAGATGATATAAAATTTGCCACACATGGACAAGTAGTGATCTCCGCCTTGGCACTTGGGATGGAGTGGGTAGACTACAGCGTTGGCATCAGTATTGAGATTTGTCACTCTGCGAAAGCTAGTACCTCTTATGATATAGAAGTTGCCATCGTTAACAAGGTAGTGATCTCCCCCCTTGCAGGAGTAATGCAGATCAAATACCTCTATATCACTTCCTTGATTCAAGTTGCCTGATCTCATGTAAACACCAGCATCTGAGCGAATGATGTAGTGGTGGCCGTTAATATCATCGCCGCAGAAGTCCACCCCTTGGGCTTTGGAACGAGGAGCAATACCAGACATACCTGAAATATATAGCAATCATTTTAGAATTGTCCAATAGGCAATTCCAGCTTTTAATTTATGCGCGCAGGAGGTGGTGGGAAGTAAGGTATCACATTGCTGATTATGCTGAAAAATTTCAACAAAAACTGCCGAAACAACCGAAATATTTCAATATTACAAGTATAAGCTATATCTGACATATTTATAACCTATTTTAGACATATTTTTTCTCTATTTAGCCCTATTTCTTCCGTATTATTTCAAAAATATGACTATTTTATTACTATTTATCATATTTCATAAAATAGTATATGACTGTTTACACTCAATTTAAAATATAGGTTATATATTTATATTTAAAAAAATAGCTTTGAAATAGGTATTCAAATCCTATTTGAAATAATAATTGACAGAATCTCACTATAAAATAGCTTTTAAATAGCTATTTAATTCCTATTGATGACAAACGAGTCAGTTAAAATAGTTTTAAGGTGGCTCGCTACAGTTTATAGAAATGTTGAAAATGCGTAAACTAGATCACCTTTTTGAAGAGATGATGCTCTTTACAAATCGAAATTTGTATATTATATATACAGCGACAATCAAACAGTCGAAAATTGGTCAGAAAAGTGACGTCACCACTGTTGCTATAGCAACAATGACGATTCAAGATGGCCGATATTTTGGCTTTGCACGCATTTTAATTTAAAAAAGGTCAGTTACCTCCACTTTTTATTTCAGAAAACATTTTCTTATAGCACAGTACACTATCTGACCAATTTTTAAAAAATTCTGTAGTGCCAAATTTTTAAAAAATTTATAAACATGGTTTTTCGAAATACTTTTTTTTGCCTTACAGAATTTTTTTAAAATTCGTCAGATAGTGCATTGCACTATACGAAAATGTTTTCTGAAATAAAAAATGGGGGTAACCGACCTTTTTTAAAGTAAAATGCGCTCAAAGCCAAAATATCGGCCATCTTGAATCGTCATTGTTGCCATAGCAACAGTGGTGACGTCACTTTTCTGACCAATTTTCGACTGTTTGATTGTCGCTGTATATATAATATACAAATTTCGATTTGTAAAGAGCATCATCTCTTCAAAAAGGTGATCTAGTTTACGCATTTTCAACATTTCTATAAACTGTAGCGAGCCACCTTAAATAGCTATTTTTAAACTATTTTTGCTTCTCTTCTTTGGAGCCATTCTTATTACTCAATAGTTATTAAATAGGAAAATAAATAGATCTTAAATAGCTATTTAATTCCTATTCATAGAAAGTTGTGGCGAACTTTGTTCAAAATAGCTATTAATTAAATAGCTATTTTTAAACTATGTTTGCTTTTATTTCTAGAGCCATTCTTAAGATAGTTACTCGCTAGGGCACTCTGTGCCCCATACGAGTATAGGTTTCGGCACGCATGGTGGATGTCATGCAGATCGTCGTTAATATCCACAAAATAGAATATTAATGAGCTGCTTAATTTTATTCTTTTCAAAATGGCGGTCTTTCGTGGAGTGGGCAAAATGTTTCAAACAATTTCGTTAAAATGTTCAACGAATTCTATGGAATGAATTCTATGGATTTTGCATTGTGTCTAACTCTGGGCATTTTTGCTAGTTTAGTTAATGTATTTTTCTTGGTGCACGACTCTGAAAATCCGAAATTTGGATCTTTGAATTCCCGTGCACGATCATTATACTGATTCTGAATATAAACGAGCCAAAGACAATTGCAAGGTAAAAAGTTTAACTTAAACTACACAACGTAGTTTTAATAGATAACTACTTTATGAGAAGCATATTGGTGTCATATCAATATAAAATTTATGCAATCACAGTCCCCAATAGTCAGCTGTGGAACGTGAAAACTGTAGCGTGAAATATGATATTGTAATGACAAATGAGTACTATCTGTACTAATGGCGCAGTAAGGGTAAAGATACCAGCGTAAGAAATTGTATTTACGGATGTCAAATATATTACAAAACAACAGTATTCTAGCGATTTATGACCTTTGAAAATCAAGCGAAATTGTATTGTTGACAAATCGCTTGCTGTACGTATTGCTGACAGACAAATCACTCGCAGTACGTTTGTCCTTGTATTTCCAACATTGAACTGTAAGTAAACTATATAGTTTACTTATAGTTCAATGATTTGTAATGCCTAATGGCGCAATAAGGATAAAAATACCACCGTTCGATTCAGCGTAAGAAATTGTACTTACGGATGTCAAATGTATTACTAAACAATAGTATTCTAGCGATTTGCGGCCTTTGAAACTCAAGCGAAATCGTATTGTTGACAAATCGCTCGCAGTACGTTTTGTTGACAAATTACTCGCAGTACGTTTTCCACTGTGGTTTGTCTTTGTATTTGTAATGGCGCAATAAGGATAAAAATACCACCGTTCGGTTCAGCGTAAGAAATTGTACTTCCATGTCAAATGTATTGAAATTGTACTACGATGTCAAATGTATTACTAAACAACATTATTCTAGCGATTTATGGCCTTTGTCGTCTTTGTCTTTCAAAGCCAAGCGAAATTGTATTGTTGACAAATCGCTCAAAATTATTAATTAAACTAATTATAAAAAATGCAGAGCGTTTGATCCTTGATAACTTTGGTATCGTTGGTTTTCTCTTTTTCGGCAGCTAGTATACCAGTGGATTTGTCTCACTTCTCTCTTCATTTTGATAGTATTTTTATGTTGAACGTTTTAAAGCGCAGTTTAATCCTAGCGTATATATGGACCAACTGGAGGCCGACAGAAGGATGTAGCGTACAGTAAATATAAACTTTAGTCGTAGGCGGAAACGCCGGAAATTTTATTTGTATAGGGCACCGCATTTTAGTACCGTGTTATTGATTCCATAAAATCCTGACCTGGGCCGGTTATTATACTAAAAAATCTTCAAAACTGAGCAACCTACCTGCAATACAAACCTAACGAATTTGAGAGCGGCAGGACTCTCCCCTTGACAAGCAAAATCAACTGGTATGAGACATCATGTTAAAATAATACAGTAGGGTGCATTGCCATTGGGGCACAATACCCAAAAATGTAATCTGTGTGAAATACTGTAAGTTGTGAAGGCAATTTTGTAAACAATAAAAATGATTGCTGTGCTAAATATAAGTTTGAATATAGTTCACCAAAAACTATTCTATAACACTATATAACCGGAATTTGCATGTTTTCCGTGTGAAGGACAAAAGCACAGGCGCACAGCATGTGTTGCCTGAACAGAAGGACAATGGTTCTTCGTCTTTCGCACGCAAAACATACTATGCACAATGCATATATCACAAAAACAAATAAACAAAACCAACCGCTTTGCGTCGTTCTAGGAAAGACCCTGGGACCGAGGTTGAAACAAAACTCTGGCTGGCGTCTTGTTTTCTGTGAATTGTTCTGTTTTTCTGTAGCGGTTACCAAATTATGAGCAAAGGCAAATATGGTGACAAAATTTAGTTTTCATTTGTATAGCCCCAGCGAGTTAACGCTCCGTAGAGCGTCTTGTTATTAAATAGTTATTAAAATAGCTAATATATAGCAAAATAATTAAATCTTAAATAGCTATTTATTTCCTATTCATAGAGAGCTGTGAGAATTGAGAACGGGTAAATTTATTTATTTAACTGGTCAAAATTTCCCGGCATGAGATAATTTTAAATTTTTCATGAGTTCATTGAAATTATATTTACAAAAATATTTATAGTCTCTGTGGAGGTAGGTATTTTGTCATTTTGACAAAACACCATTTTTGACAATTAAAACACCACCGAAAATTCTCACGATGAGCGCGGTTTGACAGGCTGGTGCCTAGTTTTCCTACAATACGCGCAAAGCTTCCTGGGATAGCGTCACAATTAACACCGCCATATTTTTTAATTTTTTGTTTTATAAAATTTTCCGCTCGAAATACAGAACTTTTATTTGGCGAAGTTGATATGTATTAAAGATTAAACTCAGGGATGACTGGGTAACATCCAGGTAAGAAATTTGTTATGGTTTATATATAAATAGAGCAATTGTGAAAGGAAATATTTATACTATCTTTATTCGTGAATTTTGAGCATGTGTTGCGGTGTCCCAGGATTTTCGCCCCCCCCCACAATTTCGCCTCCGGGGGGCAAAATTCCTAGGAATATCCCCCGCCCGGGGGGGGGGGAATCCTAGGAATTTCGCCCCCCTTTAGAAACTTCACCTTTTCTTTAGGATTGTCGTCCTCCGTTCAAAATTTCGCCCTTCCTAACAGTTGGATGGGATAATTATTACATGGCTTTAATAATTTGAAATCAGTATCAATTCAAAATTGTTAAGACAGAGCTTGAAATAACAACCGATCACCGATCAATGATCGGCATGGAATTGCTTATGATCGGCGGAAAAGCAGGGTTTCGGTTTCCAACCTGAAAAAAAGCAGGGAAAGTCATGACTGCCGATCACCATGATCGGGAACTTTGGGAACGTCATTTCAAGCCCTGTAAGAATACAAATTTACAATTACATGTATCGAAAGGGCTTACACAGTTACAGTAGATCAATAGAACTTACAGTATGACGCTTGACAGCACACCATGCATATTTTGCATTTTCAGTCTTAATCCTTAAACTCATTGTTAAAAAGTAATCACCGTGGTGGTTATTGTAATTATTGGTATTGTTTTGCATCCACGTTTTGTCGTTATCGGAAAATTATGGCTTATAAGTTGTCAATATTTTTTACTTGCATTATTTCAATATAGTTTGTAAATCTCAGAAGCGAAGGGTAGAACTTGCCAATAGGCAGTACTCCAATAATATACGTCAGGGTTGCAAAACCTGTTCAAATTTCCTCCGGGTAAAATTTAAAGTTTTCAAACCTTCCTCAAAATAAATTAACTAGATATGGTTCATCCAATAGCAATATACTACAGTATATAAACTTAACTGATTCTGAAAGCATAACACACAGTATACACGATTCTAATATATAAATTTGCCATAATAGATTTATACTTTGGACAAATTGGACAGTCCTTATACCTACTATGTCTGACATCCTATATCATACATTGAATATAAAATATTAAAAAATGATATTACTGTACTTGTGGTTTTGAAAGGCATTTGAGAGTGTTTAGGTCTTCAGACATGTGACCCAATTGCCCAATTTCACAATCAGTGAGGCAGTGAATGCTCTCACTTGTTTCTGAGACAAAGTGCTAAATTTAAACCAAGCCGTATAGTGCCGTGCATGGCAGTTTATGGCAATGTTTGGAGTGGTTGAAAATCAATGGCAATGGCA